AATCAGCTGCAGGCTACGCGCGAGGACTTTATGCTTGTTCAGCAGTACTGTCGCGCGGCTAATCTGCAGATCACGGGCCTCCAGGACCCGCGCCTCCATATTCTGCTGGAAAAGGCAAAATCTGGCGAACTTCGGCGTCTTGTTGTCGAGCGGATCCAGGGAATCAACGCACAGCGGCAGCAGCAGCAGCAGCAGCAACAACCTAGCAATACAGCAGGCCAAAATGTGTCGTCTGCGACGTCGATGCAGGCAAATTCGATATCTATTGCACAGACGCCGGCCGTTGTGCCTATCCAATTGCCACGCGATCTGTCGACTTTGACGCCGCAGGAGAGACTGCAGCTTACTGAGATGATGAGGCAGCGCCAGCTGGATATTGCCGCTGCGGCTGCTGCCGCTAACCAGCAGAACCCTACTGCCAACCCTGGACTGATGCCTAACCAGGCGGCATTGGCGGCAGCAGCAAACATGTTCCAGCAGCAACGCCAGATGGCAATGTCGGCAACAGCCGCCGCTACCGCTGCTTCTGCCGCTGTTGGCCAGAGCCCCGCGATCACTGGCAATCTGCAGTCTCCAATGGTACGGCCGGCACAGATAAACGGCACCCCGGTGGTTCAGCCGGCTCAGCGCTCGCAGGCGCCGCCGATTGCTGCTATGGCTAGCCCTAACCCAGGTCCGGCCGTTCCGCCCGGTCTGCCTTCGGCTGGTCAGCAGCAGCTTCTGCAGCAACTGAACGCGGCGAACATGACTCCGCAGGAAAAGCAGCAGATTATCCTTCGCTTCCAGCAGATGCAGATGCAGCAACAGCAACAGGCTGCCGCTGCCGCCGCCGCTGCTGCCACCGGTTCTGGTCAGACGGGCGGACCGTCCCAGTAAATATCATATTCACACACACACACACATACTTTTTTCCTGACATTCTTTCACCTTGACGCCAATACAACCCTGCTTCACAGAACTTTGTGCGTGTGCGTGTTAAAAATAGTAATACACGTGTGGGCATTTGCGATATCATTTGACAATTGACTTGCCAAGAAAGCAATACCCGAAGGGTTTGAATGGGTGAATTGATTTGCATTGGTTGTGTCGCTTGTGTTGAGACAATGCTAGTGCCTTTCTTGTCTAAAATTGGCCGTGCTTGCTTGATGTTTTCTTAAAAGAACAGGAGGCGTTAACACCAGATGTCGTTGCATTGCATCAGTGCGCTTGATATCTCGTGAAGAAAAACACCACATACTATCTCTCTCTCTTTCCTTCCTTCTCTGTACTCTTTGCAACCTTCCAACTTGCAATATTTATATTATTAATACACATGCGAACGGATATCTACATAGCAGCGTGTGCTGTCCTACTGCACATGTATCTGGGGTATGTCGGAGGCTTGGAGCTGACCCCGCGATTCCAGCACACGATGGAAATTGTCAACGGCGAGCTCTGTGTGTTTGGCGGCAAGAGCAACTCGACCGGCACCGCTCTGTCTGACTTTCTGCTCGACTATCGCTGCGTCGACGTAACTACGCCCATCGAGCAGCGTCGGCCCAACTGGAAAATGCAAAGCTCGGCCTCACGCTTCGCCATGCCGCCCCTGGCCCAGCAATCGTCGGTATACGACCGCGGCAACCACATAATAGTTCCCTACGGCGGGCAGACCCCCAGCACGTTCTCCAGCGCCAATCACCTAACAGTCTACTGCTCGCAGTTCCAGGCCTGGGGCGCATCAAACATCCTAGACGGCGTCCCGCGGCGCTATCTCCATACGGCCGTGGTGCAGGCGAGCAGCGGCGACATGATTGTGTTTGGCGGAGCCAGCGACTCGACTACAAACAACATGGAGGCGGCGCGCTGGCTGAATGTCAATCGCATGGTGCTTGACAAAGATAGACACGTGTCGCATATGCGCGCACTCGGCAGAGAGGTGCAGGGAAACGTCACCGTGGGCAGCTTTAACACCGATGACGGAGACCCGACGCCCGATGCAATCAGCTCGATCATCCAGCATGCTAGCGTTCTGATTAACGACACGCAGATGGTGGTGCTTGGCGGAAGCCTCAACAACCACAAGGCCAGTGTTGCCGTCGACCTGCCCTTTAATACCGTGTACGTCTATGATGTCGACAAGCTTACCTGGCGCTCTGAAGACTGCACGGGTGACATTCCGCTCCCGCGCTCTGTTTTTGCTGCATCTCTGCACAAAAACTCTATATACATCCACGCTGGCGTCAATACTAGCGACTGGTCTACATACTTTGACGACCTGTACGAGCTGGACACAATCACATGGCGGTGGAGGAAGATGCCGACAGCAGATGCGCCTATTAAGCGGTATGCTCACCAAATGAAGACTTTGGGTAACTACCTGATAATCACTCATGGATTCCTTGAGAACCAGACGGGCGACGCCAACATATACTTCTATGACCTGACCAAGGAGGCCTTTGTCTCGCAATACTCGCCGCGAGGCATTTCGAATGCCGAGCTGGATGTCGCATGGCTGGTCAAGGCTACGCCGGCGACAAACGGCATCATGTCCGTCGGGTACATCCTGGTGCTGCTGATATTCCTGATTGCAGTTGTCTACCTTACCAAGGAGGTGTTTGAGCGCTCCAAGGAGAGACGGATAAGAGCGCGTAGAAGTGTTGCGGCAGCCAACGGCGGTAACGGTGGTATTCGGTCAAAGATAACCTCATACGCAGACAACTGGCGCAGCTCTGCCTACCTGTTTGATAGCAAGCGCCGTGCAACGCTTGTTGACGACCGGCGCATGTCGCATGATACGGATGGCGTAACTCTGGTGCCGTCTGCTGGTGGTGGACGCAGACAGACAGCAGTGTTTGCAAAGCCATCCGATGGCAGCAACCGACTGCGATCGCAATCTATGTCTGAAGGCACGTCTACAATTATTGAGGGCGAAGTAGCGCAGCAGGTACGGCAACAGGGCACGGTGCCAGACAACATGCGTCATACGCGTGTTATGGACGAGACGCCTGCAGACTTGCCCTATGTTACCCGTCGCCTGACTCTATCTGCACGCATACCGGCATACCGGGCGCGCAGGCAGAGCGAAGGACCGACGGTCCGGTTCTCGGACTATATCCCTGAGAACAATCCGATTGATGACGACGATGACGATGGGCACAAAAATGGAGAGCCATATGAAGAATATGACGCACGCTCCAGCTTTAGCAGCATCAGCATCGAAAGGCAGTTTGAGCTATCGGCGATTGCCGAGCATCCCGATTCCTCGAGCACGGATGATCGCGCGGATGAAAACGGCGATGAGAATGACGGCGATGAAGCCGGTGGGCTGCGCATTGTCAACGACACCAAACAGTAAAACCTATTTTCGATTTCTTCTAATCTTATAGTCGCCCAATACCTTTAATCTACGTATCGGACTCGGTAGATTACACAAATACCCATCGATAAAGACTTCAAACTTATAAGGACGACTTTATGTATTAATATTACACCTCTGAACCCAATTTTCCCATATCAATAATTACTTTTGGTAAATCGTATTTGAAGTCCATGTTGTCGAAAACATATTACACCTATTAACTATCATTCCACTATTTAAATATGGTCTGCTTTATCGCCTTTGTGCCTGAATATATTAACCTGGACGACTTTGACAAGTCTGCCTGGGATGCACGATTTGACTTTATAGATGTTGACTCGTCATCTTTTGATCCCAAGAGCGAACTGACTCGCCATCCCCACTTTGTGGTTATTGAACGGGGTTACATAGCATATCATGGACGTACTCAGGCTGATCCCGTTAAAATTAGCTATAATATGGATGGGCTATCTAACAAGCTACGCATCGTGCACATGGTTATTTCACAGTTTGCCCAAGCAGATAACGGACTCACTAACATATATAGTGCGAACTCGCATCTCATCTGCTATGTTAAAGAAGGCGACCCTGAGGTTGCCAAAATGACCAAAGACCGCTATCTCAAACGCCTGTCGGTCGAGTCGTACTTGCCAGATAGCCAGGGCTATCCTGATATCAGCGAGCTGGCAGCAGCAGTTAGACTAAAGTCTGATTATAAGCGAGACGAATTTGTAGTCAAGGTTGGAAGCTATTTCCGCATATACAGCTTGGAGACTGATACCGTGTATACCATAAAGGAACCAGCCAGAATTCTGACTATGCTTGAAGTTGGGTCATGCACCTTTCAAGATGTCGCCAAGATCGACGGGCGTGTACCCCTGAAGCAACAGCTTTCTGATTTTAGACTGTGTGACGGTGCTGGCGCTCCCTTAGCCAATGGTGAAGAGTTTTGGTTCCAGATTTACTCTGAATTCGAGTCTGACATTGAGGAGACATACGATACTACTAAAGAAAGCCCGGATGAGATATACGCAAACACCGACTGTGTGCAGCTGTATACCCCGAGGGATCCAGATCAAAATGAGGCTTTATCAGGTAGTGTAGGATATCCCGTTTGGCTTAGCCATACTGTTGTTGATGGAATTACCTACCTGATGATTGGCGAAAAGTACCTCTGCTTTGTGGATTCTAACGAGATTGTTACAAGTAGCTCAATTCCGAAGAAGGAAGAGCGGCTGCAGATTGAGTACAACTACCGTGGAGACATCCTGCTATCCAAATGGGGTGGTGATGTGTTTGTGCAGTGCCACTATTTTAAAGCGTCGGTTGGTATAATTGGAATATATAGGAACGAGATAAGCACCAATGCATCCTGGCCAATGGTGCTGCGTCTTCATCGAGTTTCAAAATAATTAATTGAATAAATTCCTCCATATATGGCGTAGAATTAGTCGATTTGTTACTCAAAACTTTTAGATAACTTGTAAAGTTACTCTAAATGTAATTTTTAACATGTATATCATTGCCTGTGGCAAAAGATGACTTATTAACGCATTTTAAACGCCAAATTTTGCATTTTACGTAATGCAATCCTTGTGGCTGGATACAATACTTATGTCTGAAAAATTGGGAACTATTGTTGATTAAGAATTTAGTCTCTCGTGGGAATATGGCCGATTGGTCTAAGGCGCCAGACTCAAGTTCTGGTGGGCACCAGCCCGCGTGGGTTCGAACCCCACTGTTCTCATTTTGCTGTTATGTTTTTTTTGCACATGATTTATCTGGCTTTTAAAAACAGATCATTCGATGTGACAACGACTCCCTTTTTTTGCAAAGCTCAGCGATACATTCGACAGTAGAACCTAGCATCAGCGAGAGTACCAAGACAAGTATCTTTCTGAAACCATCCCTTACATATCGTAGCTGTATAGCTGCACTTCATCTGCATATGAAGCCTTCTACACTCAAGGGTTCAATCATTTCTTGCAAAAGGCATGTTCGTTTAGGACCATTGCCTCAGTACAGCATCGATGGTGTTGAGCACAACAATGGCAACTCGCTCCTTCTCTATTGTATTTTGCATGGTCTCACCCCAGTTTTTTTGTAATTTAATCTTCAACTGATTGAGCGGTTTGTATATGAGCTTTAATGTTTAGGATGTTTACATGAGTTAAGTGGTACGCATTTATTAAATGGAACGCTCTGGCTGTTCTAGTCGATCCTACATTGAGAGCTTTCCAAGTCGAAGACCGGCCTTGATCGAGTCCCACCAGGTCTCGCTGTAGGCAAACGCAACAATCTGCTGAGTAAACTGGTATCCCTTCTCGGTATTCTGGATCGGATAGTCGACGATTGGCGGAATGGGTGTCTTGATAAACGGCAGACGGTCCTCGGTGAATGCCTTCTCAACACAGAGCGCGCGCAGGCCTTCAGGACCTGCAAATCGCCCAAATCCGCTGATTCCAACGCCGCCAAAGGGAAGCGATTGACAGATATAGTTTACACCGAAGTCGTTGACGTTGGTCATACCAGTGCGCAACTTGAGGGCCACCCGACTGCCTCTAGTACGGTCGCCCGAGAAGACGCTGGATCCAAGACCGTAGGGTGACGAGTGTACCTTGCTCAGAGCATCCTGCTCGTCAGCAAACTTCATCAGAACCATGATGGGGCCGAATGTCTCGTTGCGGGTGATGTCCATCTCGGGGGTGACATCGACCAGCAGCGTCGGTTCAAAGTACTGACCCTTGGGGTGCTTTGGGTGGGTGTACGCATGGCCACCGACCAGACAGCGGGCGCCCTTGGATACGGCGTCGGCAATAAGCGCCTCAAGGCGGCCGAAGCAGTTGGACAGAACCATCGCACCGCAGTCTACCTGGTTGGGCTCGTCGTCGAGTATTGAGCCGAGGCGGACTGCCTTGATCCGGCGAGTCATCTCGTCGACAAACTTTTCATAAATCTTGTCTTGGATCAGAATGCGCTCAATACCGATGCAGTTCTGCGACGCGTTCTGAATCACACCGCGCATCAACACGGGGATACACTGAGAGAGGTCGGCGTCGGAGAACACAATTGCACAGTCCTTACCACCAAGCTCCAGGGTGACAGGGGTCAGGTTTGCGCTGGCAGACTTCATGACCAGCTTGCCCACCTCGGGAGACCCGATAAACGTAATGTGGTCAATATCTGGCGATGAAGTCAGGGCGTTACCAATGTCGACAAACCCGGTGACAAACTGAACCAGCTCGGGATCGTGGCCGCAGACGTTCAGAGCACGCTTGATCATCTGCTCCCAGTAAGACATGCTCCACGCAACATGCTCGCTGGCCTTGACGACAATTGCATTTCCTGAAAAGATTGCCGAGATGACCGGGCCGATCGTGTTGTGGAACGGGTAGTTCCATGAGACCAGAGCAGAGACAACACCGCGGGGCTGGTACACCACACGGGCGCGTTTGTACATCATCATGAAGCCCGGGTCGCGCTCGTCGTCCTGCAGCGCCTTCTCGCCATTCTTGATTGTCCACTGGAGCTTGGCCGACGTCGTCAGCACTTCTCCCAAGGTGGCATCAATAAGGGTCTTGCCAGAGTCGCGACAGGCCACCTGGCAGATCTCGCGCTGGTGAGCCAGCACAAACTCGTTGAGCGTGCGCAGAACCTGCCGGCGCTGCTCATAGGATGTCTGTGCCCAGACAGTCTGCGCCTTGCGTGCGCGATGGATCTTGTCCTGCAGCTCGTCGACAGTTGCTGCGCGCACCTGGCCGAGCGAGCGCCCGGTGGCTGGATCGAAGCACTGGATCAGATCGGGACGGTCCTTGACGATGATGCTTGGCTGGTCGAGGATCTCACCCGAGCGCCAGCCTGGCAGGCTCTCAGCCGGCGGTCTGAGCTCAAACGGGATTGCTGGAAGCGAGCTCTTGTGCGAAAACACATAGAGTGCCACAGCAACGACAACCACGGCAGCCAGCACGGGGCTGAGCGAGTCTTCAGCAAGGTACGGCTGGATGCGCTCAATGACAGAGTCCATTAGATTAGATGGGATGGGATGGGATGAATAAAGTCTACCAAGTCTTGCTCTCGAAAAACAACAAACAAACTTGCAACTCCCGGACTTTAGGCAAATGCATCGAGGTAGCGGGTTCCGTTAATCACGGGGTTGATCTTCTTTATCCAGACGTGGCAGCGCCGCCGCTTTTTTTCGTTTCACACAAGCCTTAAACTTTTTATACTATTTTACCTCTTTGCTAGACTTTTCGAATGGGCCGCAAAAAGAACAAGCAGGTCGTGCTCAAGCCCTGGTGCTGGTACTGCGAGCGTGAATTCGAGGACGAGAAAATCCTGCTGACACACCAGAAGGCGAAGCACTTTAAATGCCACGTCTGCGCGAAGCGCCTGAGCACGGCAAGCGGCATGGTTATTCACGTTGCGCAGGTGCACAAGGAGGATATCAAACGCGTGCCGAATGCGATGCCTGGCCGCGATTTGCCAAACATTGATATCTTTGGCAGCCAGGGGATCCCTGAAGAGGATGTTGCTGACTATGAGCGGCGCATGAGCGAGAAGCTTGGGGACCCGGCGTCGAAGCGATCGCGGCCACCGCAGATGCAGAGCGGTGTTGGGACCAATGGCGGGTCGAGTAATGATATCAGCGCTAGTTCTGATCTGGTTGATGCGGACCAGCTTCGGATGCAGCTTGAGCAGCATCGACTGGCCAAGCAGCAGCAGCAGCAGCAACAGCAACAATTTGATCACAGCATGCCAATATATGCGGGACAGCCGTTCTCTCCGCCTCCAATGGCATCGCCGCCGCCGCCGCCGTTTTGGCCTGCAGGTGGATATGGACATCCGCCGCCACCTGGGCATTTTCAGATGCCACCAGGTCCTCCTCCGATGCCTATGCCGATGTCTATGCCGCCAAGGCCGCCATATCCACACCCGCACCCACCTCTACCTCCGCACATGCAGGCCATGATGGCAATGCGCCCTCCACGGCCACCGGTGCCGCCACCCTCGGCCATCAGTCCGGCTACCGACTCCTTTAACGGCCCGAACAGCATTCCTGGTAAGCCTAGTGTATCGTCTGAACCACCACAATCTGCTAGTGAGCCGGTTTCGGCAGTCTCTGCTGCTTCTGATATTATAGATAAACAGGCGGCGCCAGCACCGACGCCGGCATCGGCACCGGCGTCTAAATCGCGGGTCACGCGTCTTGTGTACAACAACGCCACCCTGTCAGTGGTAAGTATGATGATTACAATGTTATTATTAGAATCTGCATTGTGTGTCGGATATGCTCATGTGTACTAATTTATCCACATCAGAGGACCTATTGTTTGTTTTTTATTAATAGGAAGAGAGCCGAGCCCAACTTGCAAGGTATCGCTTCGGCGCTGCATCGTAGAGGACACATCAACAAGCCAAGCGAAATAAAGGCAAGCTATGATTCTGGAACAAAAGAAATCAGTCGTATTGCACTAGTTCACTTGATTTTTTTTATTGTTTTCTTTGTTGGCATTCTAAGAAATACATACGCGGAAATGTGTGTGTGGATTATATGGCGATTACTTTTTGAAACGAGAAAAGAAAAATTTATGTAAAGACAAAATCTTTTTATTCACGCTTAGAAGTAAGCGGCAACAGCGACGGCGGCAGCGGCGAAGGAGAGGACAACCTTGGCGGCACCGCTGCTCGAGGACTCGTCGTCACCCGAGAGCAGCTCGTTGACAATGTCATCGGCGAGCGAGTCAAGCTCGTCCTTGGTGCCCGAGGAGGTAGGCTTGGTGGAGCCCGAGGTCTTGGTGGCCGCGGAGCTCGAGCCAGAGTTGCTGATCGAGATACCGCTCTCGCCAATGTTGCCACCGGCAGCCGAGGAGCCATCATCCGAGGCAGCATCAGAGCCCGAGGCGGCATCAGAGCCGGAGGCGGCGTCAGAGCCCGAGGCGGCATCAGAGCCCGAAGCAGCGTCGGAGCCCGAAGCAGAGTCGGTGGCGGCATCAGAGCCAGAGTCGGAGGCGGCATCAGAGCCGGAGTCGGCAGAGCTGTCGGCGCTGACAGCAGAGCTGACATCGCTCGAGGCATCGGTGGCACCACCGGTAGCGCTGATGTTGACGGCACCATCGTCAATGTTCTGGGCCAGAACAGTGGCGGCGAGGGCGGTCAGAGCAAGGGCCTTGGCGAACTGCATTGTGTATTAATTAAGAGATGTAAAGGGGGTGTTGCGAGGGGGTGCGAGGGTTGAGAGAAAGAGTGCGGTTAGGTCGGAAGAAGAACAAAAGTGAAAAGATACCTGGAGAGAAAAGAGGAAAAGAGAGGAGAGAGTGAGCAGAGCGGGATTAGAGTCTTTTATATGTCTGCTGAGCGTGCGTTGTTTTCAGAACCAATGTTTGGAGTTTTACCACCCAGCGGACTACGCTCCGCTAATTTTTTTTCCACTCATGCAAGCTGGTTTGCTCATCATTTGAGGTGCTTTGTTTTCGTTTTTGTTTTATACATCTTGGGGGTGTGTTGCAAAGGATGATGCAAATGTCGATCCCGGGGTCAACACACATTGAAGTGTTTACAAGTGAGGGAAAAGCAGTGTGAGATTTTTTCCATATTATAGCTGCTTAAAAGACGGCTGGAGGATTGAAGATCGACCGCTCCCTTTATTTATTTTGCAATCAGTGTAGATGCTCACTATCGCCAAGCGATAAGGATTTACCGGACCGCGAGACGCACACAGCACATGCAATCCGCCGCGCACACCAAACC